CCGAAAAAATCAAACTTTTGATATTTTCGAAAATGCAGAGTTAACCCTGAAATCGGATCTATGCCACCTATAATAATAGAGTAAAATACACCAATTTGTGCATTCTACTCTATTCTTATGAGCAATTTACTGAAAAAAATGGAGCTCTTTTATAAGGAAATTTTCAAACTGTCTAAGGGGGCTTCATGTAATTTACCCTCAAAAATTAATGTTTTTTAACATCGAAGATCTTCGATTCAGGCCAGATCGACATTCAGTTTGGAAAAAATCATAGCATAGTTTAGGTGCTGCTGGTGTTTTTCACATATAGCACCACGGACAAACGGACGTTTCACCGTCAATCGATTGTTCGGTATCAAGGACCCAAAAACATGGATTTCTGGCTTCACCACGTATTAGAGGATGTTTTTTCTAAATCTAACAACTGGATTTATCTACATTTTCGATATAAGAACACGGCAATAAGAGTTTTTCTACCGAAAATTTGTCGTTTTTTCGCTGAGGATTACATAACTTTCTTTCTACTGCGAAAGCGGTAGCGAGAAAGTAAAACTATCCGATCTTGTATCAATTTTCGTGTTAATTCTGTAAATTTGTTCCGTTTTCTTCTATCACGTAAGGATTGTACACAACGTAAAATATGATTTTTATGAATCAAATATTATCCCAAAATGGCCTATTTTACACTAAATAATTGTAAAAATATGTAATAAACTATACGTGCTGTGCTGTACTGAAACAACGCTACTCTACTAAAAAGATCTGTAACTTAATTTTTTTTTAATTTATATGTAACTTATAGAACCTGGTGATGAGAAGAAATTTCATCCTGAATCATTGTCCAAAATGTAAAAAGTTCTTTGTAATTAAAATTTAATGTTGAAGAATGCAGATGAACTAATATATTTCATTGCCTTTGAAAATTGGCCAAAGACAATTGTACCTGGAAAATTACCGGACATATATCAAATAAATTTTTTTATATATTTCTTTTCTTGTTGTTTAGTGAAGTTGATGTTAATTTGTGATCGTTCATTTCATTGTGATTTTTTTATTAATTGCATAACTCAGGATGTATGAATGTAGTTCAGTGGTGACTAAAATTTGGTCTTAATGGTTCAAGGTATGAATGTCCCGTATGTGATGAAATAAAATTCACCGAGCGAAAGGAATAGAGTGAAGGCTATGAGTGGATGTGCAGGAAGAGTGGGGTCAATACTCAAATACAGAAAAGGTCTGTGAGAAAGGATTCGTAGTTTTTATGCAGACAATTTTGTAACATGAAATAAAATTTCACAAATTACGTTTTTATCTTTGCTTCATACGTCTCTCCTGTTCTCTCATGTGTTAGAGAAAAATTAGAAATTACTACTTTCAAAACTACTAAGAAAACGTGTGTGACATTTTTAAAGTTTGTATCATTTTATTAAACATGGTCCCCTGAGAATGACCAAATCTATATCAAAGTGATACACACAGAGCCCAAAATGTCAAAGAACTTTTCTATTTAGGACTGTGTCATGGACAGACAACAATCCCTTTCCATCCAGAAAACACTTCGGCAGCTCTGAGACCTCGCCGATGAGTTCGCGAGTGTGTCAATTCTTCGATCGAGACAACATTACGAGAAATGTGTTAAAAGTGTGGAGGCCAGGGAGGGTGATCCAGAACAAATTATTATTTTATTTTGATTTGACTAAATGTAGTTCAAGTACTCGACCATAATCCGTCATCCTGATTAGAAATTTCTTTGGATTGCTTCAATCGTTTCTCAGGATTTTTTCTATGTGAAACTGAATAATGCCTAGGGTGCAAAGGTGTTTCCTTAGGTATTGGATATGCACTCTAGAACTCAATTTACTACCGTGATCATCATTTCCATTGCGTACACGAGAATCTGGAGGTGTATTTCGTTATATTATAAATCCCTTAGTCCACTCCAAAATTTGTTGCTGAAATAAAGTGTAAGTGGTTCGCTTTTATAAAAAAGAAAAGTGTTACATAGCGTCTGGAAGCCCTTGCAATTACCAACTCCACTTCACAGATATTTTCAAAGATCTGAAAGCAAGGGGCATCAGCCCAAACCTAGGCTCAGAGAATGAAAATGGAAACATGATGAAGAATGATCTTGCACAGTCTGTGACCCAAAGTATGGGGGAGGCTAATAAGGTACTCGTCTAGAGTGAATGAAAGCTATCGATCACAACAAGCGGCCTACGAACGCGAATTTGCCGCACACTCGCTAATGTTTAAACGTAGAGTTAAGTTAAGTAATTGACTCGTCACGCTCGTAAACTAGCTCGACCAGTCTGAACTAGACAGCTGAACCCAGCACCTGATTAGTACGATGGATGGAGAAATGCTAATGAAGGAAAGATTTTCTAGATCAATTTGTGTGTGAAAGCACAAACACCGTAATAGAGATTAACAAGATGTAAAAAGAAAGACCCTGGAAAATGAACTAATTAAGTAAATATAAATTCATTTTTCTGAGGTTCATACATTCTCGAATCTGATATTTTCCTGAATACACTTCATTCAACCACCTGCTTACTTCGCTTATGCCTTAAAGGTTTCCATTACAAACTCGAATTCTCTTTATCTAGAATTCTCTCTTCGTCAGTTCCAATAGTGTACTTCTAACGAGGGAAGGGGCAGTGTTCCTCCCCGCTGGATGGTGAGATTCAGCGCTGACCAATACTTCGGCTTGCTAGATTCCCCCTCCAGCTCTTTCCTGCAATGGGGCATTTACCTGGCCTGGACGTACTTTAATCTCTCGACTGATCCCCCGTCTTGTGAGGTAGTGTAGTGCTTTAAGATATGTGTATGTGTAAAGGGAGTGGATAGAACAAGAAAAAAGGCAGAGGCAGAAAAATTCGCGCGCGGTCCGTGGCTCATTTGATAAAGTATTTCTCCGGCATTCCCGTATAGGAGAAACTACAGAAGAATACCGGTCAGAGCCCCCTTTCACTAGAATTCTCTTTTTAAAACAGAGCCTGAATTAAATCTAGCTAAACAGCTAGCGTCGAAAATGCGCCACCGTTAGGACTCGAACTGTAACCTCTAGATTAGTCACTGCAGAGACAACCGGGCTAGGGATCGTGGCTTCTGGCGCTGATGAAATAGTCATTACGAGCTGCATCAGTCCACCGCTGGGGGGCAGGTTTCCCAAGCGCGGGTAAGTGATGAACATCTCGGGCGGGTCGTGGGGACGTTTGGAGATGGCGTGGTCGCGGCAGTGGTTGTGCAGGTCCACGATCAGCTCCGCCACGTCCGCAGGCAAGGGCAGCACCTCTGCGCACTGCTCAGTTTCCCGCTGCACAATGACAACGCACATGTTTCTCTATCAGCAGCGAGTCCAAGATGAAAAATAACAAGAACAACCACCGCCTGTTCTATATAAATGAACATAGAAAAGACAGAATTGTATATGATTATCTCGTTATACAGATTATTCAGTACATGAAGGCATCTCAAATCTCAAACTAATCGATATTTGTACCTCGTTTATTTTCATCTATTAAGTGTTAAAAATAAGTCAAGATATATCTATATTAAATTGCAGTGGCATTACTTCAACTGTTTTACAAAAAAGTACATTTTCAACAACTGAATTAATACCATTAGATATTCCTGGTATTAGCTCTAACCCAAAACTTCAACCAAAAGGTTAGATTCTGTATCAATTGAGATTACTAGATGTTTTTTTCAAAGATTTTAAAGAAACTACTTAGTACGAGATTTCACGATTTCATTTTTATGGTCGCCTACATGAATGAAGTATTGTACCGATGGGCATTAAGAAAAGCAGTTGGTACATTAAATTCTGTGACATTACCAGAGGGAAAAATATTCATTCAACTTTTGAAATCTGTGTTCCTGTTGTAGATTATGAATCTTCATATGCTATGGAATATGAGGAAAATATTATGCATATCCTACACCTACAATTTCATTTTATGATTTACAAAATTCGAATTATCAGGAAGACGAGTATTTATAAAAAAATCATACCGTCCATTTGCAGAACTTATAAGAATTAGGAATAATAATAAAAAATTAGAAATGGTGATGTCGGCACTTCTTTGTATTTAGAGATACGTATATGAATACGTATAAATACATATACGAATAAGCTCGTGTTAGAATGAAATAAGATGCCGCCCAAAAAGCATCTATGAAATTATGTGCTTCATTTCATAATGTTGTTCCTAATAACACGATTGGATATGTTATTATGTATGGCAAAAAGATTTTAAAATATGACTCAACAGTATAATTCAAGATTTTTTTAAATATAAATTGATGAAAAAGGTAGTTGATATCATTGTATACATTGTTGTTTTAAGTGTATGACGAATATTTCAAGCAATAAAAGTGGTTGAAGTCTTTAAATTGTGAATTTTTGAGATATTTTTTTAATACTATCAAGTTTTGACACACTGCATGTATTTTGGTTATTTCATATCGAGTTTACAAACACGAATAAATCTGACTCGCCCAAGTGTGGGGTGAAATAATTAAAAGTTATAAATATTAATTAATTTTAGTTCTCAGGTTAATGATCCATTACAAGAGAGAGAAACGGAGAGAGACAGACAGAGAGAGACAGTCAGAGAGAAAGACAGAGACACAGACGCAGTCAGACAGAGACAGACGGAGACACAGACCAAGAGACAGAGAGATAAAAAGAGTAAATGAATCAAAGAAAAAATTATGTGGAAAAAAGAAGTTAAAATCAGAATGAAAGTGACAAAGTAACTCAAATATAGTGACAATCGAACAAAAAAGTAAAGTGAGAGAAAGAAACATAGAGTAAATGGATCCATAAAGTCATGCATTTATGTGTACCGTTTTGCAAGCGATGTGATAGAAGCAGGCCCTTTCTTCAATTATACAAACGAAACACGCATGGAATACAATTTCAACTGGTTATTTTAATATTTTGCAGGCAACGTTTTACAGACCAAACCAAGAACAATTAGACTGGCGCTCCAATAATGGTTGGTAAACACAGAGGTAAGTAAACTGATTTGAAAAATAAAGTCTTGTAAATGTTGATAATCTCCCTTGCTAAACTTTACATGAATTATTGCATTAAGGAAAGTTTTATGTTTCAAGTCTTAACATGAACCATGCTCATGAAAAGTGGTCATGACAACTGGGGTTAAAACTCAATTTTAAAGTCCGAAGTTATTTGAATCCTGCCAGTTTCAATAATTTATCTAATCCTTAGATCAGAGTATAAGTGACGTAATATTTTATACACAACGTAAAATAGGTAACGCCTGTCGAAAAGTGAAAATGATTTAATTTTCGAAACAAAAATTCATAATTTTCCTCGAAAGCAGAAAATCAAAAAGTATCCCAGCAGATTGTATAAGAAGTGGGTTTTTGGTTATTATAACTGCCAACTAACATGATATTAATACTCCATCTACCAGGGAAATATCAACATTATCAAGAATACCTGGTTTGATATGGTTTTCAACATTTTAAATTAAACTTCAAAGGGATTGTGAGAGCAACAGATAAAGTCAAAAATAATTCACTCACTTTCTTTATATATTGTTTCAAACCATTACACATAACGGTCGGCTTTATAAATGTTTCTTTGATATCCGGGTTTGAAACTGGGATTCGAAAGAGATTTCAAGTTTTTAAAAGGGCATCTTGTCATTTTTTTGATGCCGTTTGACACCATTCTCTGGAATGTGAATTATTAACAGGAAATCTAGCAAATGGAACATTGCGAAATGACATAATAAGCATCTCACATTCCCCGTTTGGGATGCAAATTTTCTTGTTGGCTTTATTTGAATGTAATTTACCGAAATGATATCTGAAAATATTACTGAGGTAAGTTTCCGGGCATGTTTTTATTTTTAACTATTAGTTGGCAGAATGGAGGTTTTTTCCCAAATTTCCGGGGCCTTTGGTACCAAACCGCTGACCACGGTGAAACGTTTTTTTCAGGGTAGTTCTTTTAGTTCTAAGAAATAAATAACAAGTTCTCCTTCTCCTTTTCCTAGGGGCTTTTTGTCCAGCCAAAACAGTCCCGGTACGTCTTTTAACGTTTCCGATGGGAAACGCACATTCGGCAATCCCTCTGCACCGAGCCAGCAGCAACGCGAGGCCCTTCCATGACAACACGTATATGACGACAAGGAACAAACAACCGGTGCCCAAGGGCGGGATCCGAAACGGCCGTGTGCCCTTCTGCTTCTGACCAGAATGCGCTTGAGTCAGGTACGGCGCCGAACGCACCTGGCCATCCAGGGTTGAAAAATAATTTACATTTAAAAGAGAAACTTACAAATAACATATGTCCACAACCATCAAATCATCTGGAATATCGTTCTTTTCAAAATTTTAAAGTAAAGTATAATTATTTTTTTTTCTGTATCGAGTCATGCTAAAATATGCTGCCTTTTTCAATTTTAAACCTAGATCGAGGCCTACAACAAAAAACCAAAATTTCCCCTATTAAATTCAAATTAGCTACCTCTCAAAAATATGTAAGGTAATTGATCCATCGAAATGGTTTCGCGCGCCTTTCTTTTTAAGCTTTGCCCTTCTGCCTAATTATCGTGACAAATAAAAAGAAAAATTGAAGCAGGTTTTTCGAAAAAAAAGATAATTGCCTACATTTTCGGGCAAAGATTAAACAGGAAACCTACTGATATTTTCGAATAATGATTTTGCCCACACTGAAATTTTGCCATAAAAATGTGTGGGAACTTAGGAAAGTTTATAAACATTTTATGACCATTTCCTCTTGAACGTACTTTAAACGTTTTATCCGAGGACAAACTTTGGATTAAATAGTGGCCGTTTTGTGGAGAAATTTTGAAATGTTGGTTTGAGAGGCTTAATGTAAAGTATCTCAAACATTTTAAAAAAAATATGCGCGTTTTAAAAACTCCGATAGTCTTCGAGTTCATGTCCACATCGATCGGGGAATCTGAATTTTGAAGATAAAGCTGAAGGGTTTAAGAAAAGTGACTTAACCCAACAACGGACAGACACACAACCTCGTTTTGAGGGTCAATTCGATTTTTTTTTGGTATGAAGAAAACAAACCAGAAAAAAAAAAAAAAACCATGAAACGGAGTTCTGGCTACACTCACGTGCCTAGAAGATGTTTATTCTTTTTGTATATTTAGCAGGGATTAATCTAATCTTTCGTACCAGGCCCGACCAAAGAGAAGTTTTCTGCCAAAAATTCGGCTGTTTTTCGGGGCGCAACGATTTTCGTAATTTTCTTCTCTTCTTACGAAAGAAACATTTCCGAAAGGTCCGAAAAGTAAAAAATAATGCACTTCCACTTAATTTTTAGCTTACACTTTCCAAATTTTTGGGAACCTTTTGACCTTCGGATGATTTCACTCGAAAATACTTCCTTTTCAATGTAACACGGACGTAAATTCTGAAAATGTAAATCAGTATCATTGTTTTAAAAGTTTCCAGAGATTAAAGAAAAATTGACCAGGAAATCATTTATTTCACGTTAATAGCAAAACCCAAGGGTGTTCGTAATTAAAAACCGTCAATGGTAAAATTGGAAACTCACAAGTAACTATCATGTGAAGTAAAAAGGAAATAATTGCTTGGAAACGTGTATTGTAGTATACGTCCACCTAGTTCTTCCGAAAATGAAAACTACATGTGTTAAGTTTCCCTTTGTTTTTTTCCTATTAACTAAGTTAAGCAGGCCGTTTTTTACTCAATCTTTACAACTAAGAAATAGCATTTTACTTTTTATTATCCGGTATATATGTTAACTATACCGGAGGTATATATCCGAGTAATATTATGTTAGTATATGGAAAGTTATTTGTTTTAAATATTCCGGGGAAAAATCGATTTTCCAAATTATCATTTTTCCATGGTAGTGAATGTCTTTAACTTTTTTAAACTTATCTCCCATTTACATCTGACATATATAAATTCCCCAATTACATGAAGTGAAATAAATTAATATCACAATAAAAACAATTTGAATTAATTCGATTTTGCGTTATGTTTTAAAATTTATTGCTGACATCAGTATTAATTAGTTATGCTGACGAATTTAAGAATAAGATTGGGAACAAGGGCTTGTGTGAAGAACGACGCTAAAATGATGTAAATTACCACATGTCGTATCATACCTCGTTGTAACTATGACGTTCGGCGGGAGTCTACTGCGCAACATTTTGTTTCGATACTAGTATACACGAGAGATTATTTTTTGAATAAACTTTTTGTAATTTTACCGATTTAATTAAAAACGATGAAAAATAGCTTCGTTTTATTGCAAACAATGTACAACATAACAACGTTAATTTATTTATTATTTGTTAAGTATTTAGTAAATATATTAAATGTGTTCGTTAATGTGGTGGCACATCTGGTTATTACACCTACGTATTTACCAAGTTAGAGTTCAAACACATCTCAATCTGAACATTGGTTTTATTTTGTGACACATACGATTTCCATCGTGTTCTGTTAAAAATATTTTAGTGATATGTTTTTAAAACATTACTTCGCTGATACTTTGGCTAAAATATTACTTCGTTATGATGGCTTTGTAATGTTATAAAATAAAGTTTTCAAATGTGGGAATTTTCACGTTCTTTTCAGCTCAATCGGGACGATTTAACAAATATGTAAACAAGATTTTTCAAATCCAGCAGTAAACACATTCTTTAAGTTTTCCATCATTTTACAGCGAGTTTTGGCTAAATAATGTAACTATGGACTTTTTTTAATTTCAATCTGTGATATTCACAAAATATTGAAATCGAACTTTATTTTTGTTGCTAACATTTTGTGATACAGGGTTGTCATCAGGGTGTCCTGTGGTGTAGCAGGAGAAAACTGACTGGGTGATCTTCGCACACCCCAAGTTCGAATCTCATCCGGGGAAATATACATTTGCGGTTAGAAAAATACTTTTGTGGTTAATTATAATAATTCGTAACCTTAATAACATGACAGAAAGTATGTGCTTTTGAAGAGTTTAATACTTACTTCAGCGTGGTAATTTATTTAAGAATCAGTTATAAATTTTTCTGTTATTGAAGGTTCTGGAAATTTTATCATTCGCGAACAATATTCATGCCCCATTAATGCGGTTAATACGCAAGTTCCCTATCAATGAAGTAGCTTCAGCTTCGAACTGTAGGAGCCCGAAAGATTAACGCCCTGCCTAGCTGCAGCTAAACCAAGCCTACAGAGCTGAGATTCTGATTTGAAAATAGTTTCTAACATTAAAATGAACTACGTAGTTTTGCGCGTGTTTAAATTCTTTGCATTCTTAAGTTTTTGAAAGCTTTTGAGAAACTGGAGTACTATCTCATATAAATAAAAAACTAAGCGCTAATATAACGGTTAAAGTATTCCTTTGGTAATAAGGTTTCTTTCCTGACAAAACGAAAAAAGCCAAAAGGCCGTATGTTTACAGTAGCGTAAGTGCGTTCGTGTTTGAAACTGGTATAATTAGAAAGGACGCGAGTTTTAAATACGTAGTAACGCCGGCTAATTTTTACTTCCACGTAAAATACTATGTGCAAAGATAGATAATGTAAATGCTGCGGAGTAAGTGTGGAAATTTTTCACAGAAAATGGCGTTTTGTAAAAGATGTTCGCTCTTCGAGAAAGAAAGTGAAGTTGGTTTCTTTTCTCGTATATCTAATTTTCCAAGAACATAGGGTGTCAAAACGCTTATATTTTTGAAGTGTAACTTTAGCGCTCAAAAAGTGAATTTTCGGATAAAACCCTAATTTGTCATTCCGTGTTACGTGGAGTTAGTTCCTTTTGAGAAAAGTAGTATTTTCATTAAAATTGATATTCCATCGGGAAACTGAAATCTGGCTGATGTGTTTTATATACTTAAATCGGGATAATTTCAAACGGGTATCTTTAATGTTTGGGAACTTAAACTCATGGTAGTCAACCACATAATTTGTCCCAAAAATTTTCCTCAAAAACTTGCTCCCAAAATTTGGTTTTTAAAAAATTTTTTTCCTCGA